ACATTTTGTGTCAAAAAATTGTTAACTTCAAACCTTTATAATTCAAAAAGTACTTAATGAAAAAATGTTTTATTCTAGCGTTTTGGAAAGCTCTCGAGATAAGCTATAAGAATATGCAATAAAATGTAGGGGGTTCCATATAAAAAAATAAGGTTGACCTTGAAATGACCTTGAAGGACATGGTCAAGGTCAAAGTCAAGGTCATCATCTTACTCTCCGCTTGAAACCATACAACTTTGCTATTAAACATTTTCTTCAAAATGCATTCTAACTGAAGATATTAGGGGGGTCCGATACTTTTCGATGACCCTGTATATCGTCGATGTTGAGGGTGTGTTTGAAAATAGCTGTGGTTACTGTCAGTAAAAATGATAAAGTTAGCAGCATTAAGAATTACTGCTGCTACGTTTCGTATCTCCCACCAGTAAATTAGTTAATGACATATGTAAATTTCGTTATTATAAAAAAATAAACTATTGTAAGAGAAGCTAACTGTAACATAATTATGGAAAAATATATCTTATTTGAAAACATTGTTGAATCATCCAGTAGTTCTTTTTCTACTGATAGCGATAAAGTATTACAAGATATTATATTTAATAATGAAAATAATGAAAGGAAAATGGTCCCAAAAATTAGAAATTATATTGCTCATGTTGTATCGGCATATACGGATATTGAATTCAAATCGCATTTTAGAATAGTTATGATATTTATTTATGTTACAATTTGAACATATAAAATAGATCATTACGTATGATGTTGATATACAATTATATAATTATTTGCATATGTTAATTAACATATAATATAATGTTGATTAACATATGTTAATAATAATAATACTTTTTTTATTTATTACAAAATAAAACGTAATACTTTTGATTTTTTATTGTATATAATTGGACCAACATTAAATAATTTTCCATTTAAAGGGAGAGAATAAATTGATATAAGAAAAGAATTATTAATTACCATTTATGTATTGACAACCCTTATAGAAATATCATACTAAGAATCATTGATAATTACTTATTATCCAGTATTTTTAATACTGAAAATAAGTAATTATCAATGATTCTTAGTATGATATTTCTATAAGGGAACACCAGACTTTTATCGCAGTATAAATAAAAGATTTGGAGTTAGCAAATCAACAGCATGGTTTAATGTCAAAAGAGTGGTTTGAGCAATTTACGGCATCCGAAATCAGTTTATCAGATGGCCCTTATAGAAATATCATACTAAGAATCATTGATAATTACTTATTTTCAGTATTAAAAATACTGGATAATAAGTAATTATCAATGATTCTTAGTATGACATTTCTACAAAGGAACTTACGAAGAAATTCAAATAACTTGGACAAATATACAGAGGTTTATTATAAACACAATTTTTTAATTTTATTTATTAATTTTATTTAGTCCTTGATAAACTCACTTACTGTTTAAGGTTATGCGTCAATCTAATACCTAACACTGCCTAGAATGAACAACTGATTTACTGGTGGGAGATACGAAACGCTGCAGCAGTAATTCTCAATGCTGCCAACTTTATCATTTTTACTGACAGTAACCACAACTATTTTCAAATACAACTTGGGCTGCGTTCAGACTCCCCACCCGGGTGTATTCTATTACTAGAAGTGCTATAGTATATGTAACATATACTATAGTGTTTTTAGTAATAGAGTGCACCCAGATGAGGAATCTGAACGCAACCTTGGGTGTTTACGATAAATTATCGGATTGGAAATCCGACTGAACAGTGGTACTCAATCGACCCATTTCAAAAAATTCCCTAGCTTAATCAGATTTTAGTAAAAGCTGTCTCAGCAGTAATCGGATTAGCTTCATAGCGACGTGAGGTGATACTTTGTCCTTAAGAGAAATAAAAAGATAAAAGTCGGTAGATACGTAATTATTATTCTAATGATTAGCGCTTATTATTTTCCTTATATATCAATATATGAATAAATGATCTGTTACACTTTTTTACTGATATTAAATTAATGAAAAGAAGTATTAGTAATCTCACGTGTAGTAAACATTAATCTATAATAATATTGGATTTATGTTATAATTTCGTATATAACAAAATAAGAACAGTATAAAATCTGTCAAATTAACATTTTAAACATATAGTATGTTTAAAATGTTAATTTGACAGATTTTATACTGTTCTTATTTTGTTATATACGAAATTATAACATAAATCCAATATTATTATAGATTAATGTTTACTACACGTGAGATTACTAATACTTCTTTTCATTAATTTAATATCAGTAAAAAAGTGTAACAGATCATTTATTCATATATTGATATATAAGGAAAATAATAAGCGCTAATCATTAGAATAATAATTACGTATCTACCGACTTTTATCTTTTTATTTCTCTTAAGGACAAAGTATCACCTCACGTCGCTATGAAGCTAATCCGATTACTGCTGAGACAGCTTTTACTAAAATCTGATTAAGCTAGGGAATTTTTTGAAATGGGTCGATTGAGTACCACTGTTCAGTCGGATTTCCAATCCGACAACTTATCGTAAACATCTCTTAAGGTTATCTAATAGAAAGTTACTATTTAGCACGCGTATCAAGTGCACGATGTAAACCAAGCCAATGCATATCAACAGCGACGCATTCTATCAATACAATACGTTTTGTTAATGAGTATTATACTAGCTTAATATACCGTTGTTTATATATATATCGTTTTGTTGATGAGTATTATACCAGCTAAATATACCGTTGTTTATAAGTTTGTTCGAATTACTTGTACTATTCACACTTTTACACCTAATGCCCGTTGCACACTAGTGCACCTCATACAACACAAATTTTCCAAAATATGTTCTGAAGATGCTTTTAGGACGGAGGGATATTATCAGAATATTTTTAAGACGTCCTTTGAAGATGTGAGTTGTCTGAAAATAGCTAATATCCAATAAGTTTATTCGTATTAATTGAACTTTTTACACTTTCACACTTAGTGCACATTAATTCTTTAGAGGTTCTAAAAATGACGTCATGATTTCCGTTCGTGTTACGAGTGTAAATGCAATTCTGATACACTTTTCACTCTTGCTTGGGATCAAGTGTAAAAAGTGTATTAGGGCTATCGCACACAAATTGACATAACTGCATATGCATAGCATAAGATCGTATGAACCAATGAGTATCGAATATTAAGCATCGAACACCAATATGGCGACTTAATATTCGATGCTCATTGGTACATACGGTCTTATGCTATGCATATGCAGTTATGTCAATTTGTGTGCGATAGCCCTTAGAATTGCATTTACACTCGTAACACGAACGGAAAACATGACGCCATTTTTAGAACCTCTAAAGAATTAATGTGCATTAAGTGTGAAAGTGTAAAAAGTTCAATTAATATGAATAAACTTATTGGATATTAGCTATTTTCAGACAACTCACATCTTCATAGGACGTCCTAAAAATATTCTGATGACATCCCTCCGTCCTAAAAGCATCTTCAGAACATATTTTGGAAAATTTGTGTTGTATGAGGTGCACTAGTGTGCAACGGGCATTAGGTGTAAAAGTGTGAAAAGTACAAGCAACTCGAACAAACCTTAAGCCCGTATCAGATTACGGATTAAGATTGAGATTGAATTGAAAATTGATCAATCAGAACAAAGTTCACCAAACTTGAGCTTAGTAAATTTTGCTCTAATTGGCTAAATTTCAATTCTAATCTATAGTCTGATACAGGCTTTATATATATCGATGTTAAGATTATCTAATAAAAAGTTACTATTTAGTACGCATATGAAGTGTATGATATAAATCAAGCCAATAAGATACATTCGAGTGGGGAATCTGAACTCAGCCCATAGGACCTATAGGGCTGCGTTCAGATTCTCCACCCGAGTGTATTCTATTACTAGAAGTGCTATAGAATATGTAACATATACTATAGTGTTTCTAGTAATAGAGTGTATCCGGATGAAGAATTTGAACGCAGCCATAAACCAGCCTCAATACGGACTGAAGGCAAAGTACATTTGTCCCGATCTACATATACTATAGCGTCTTCTACAATGGCTTGGTTTACATCGTGCATTTGATATGCGTACTATATAGTAACTTTCTATTAAATAATCTTAATATTGACAATGCATATCAATGACGACACATTCAATCGATAAAATAAATCTTCTTGATCAATATTATACCAGCTTAATATACCGTTATTTATATACATCGTCGATATTAAGATTATCTAATAGAAAGTTACTATTTAATACGCATATCAAGTGCACGATGTAAACTAAGCCAATGGCAGTAGGAGTAGTAGTAAGAAATAAGCAGTAAGTAAATAGACCAATCACAATCGATTATTTTTGAAACGTGAAAATGGAATTGGTCAATTTGCTTACTGCTTATTTCTTACTACTACTTCTACTGCCATTGTAGAAGACGCTTTAAGGGACGTCTACATTGGAAGTAAATAGCAAGGAGTAGGAAGCAAGAGTAAGAAATTGACCAACCACAGTCGAATGTGAGAAGAATAATCAACTATGATTGGTCAATTTCTTATTCTTACTTCCTACTTCTTACTACTTACTTCCAATGTAGACGTCCCTTTAAAGGTATAGTAAGCTTTAAGCTTTAAGAAATTGACCAATCACAGTGGAATTATAGAGGAATAATCAATTATGATTGGTTAATTTCTTACAGCTTAAAGTTTACTACACCTATTGTAGATCGGGACTTTAAGTACACTTCAAATGCTTCGACGTGTCAATATATATCAATATGATTGGTTCACCGTTTGGAAGTACTTACAGCGCTACATGGACCCTATCTCAAGAGATTTTCGTATGACAAGGCGAACCAATGGCGCCGCAGCGCCAATAGATAGCGGCGCGCAATTGGTCCGTTGTTCCGTCTCGGTTGGGTGCCACCGAGCTCGCCGGATGTGCCTGTCGTCCTCTAAATAACATCCTCTTATCTCGCGAATGTCGCGAACATAAACACGAGAGTTTAGCGTTTCGACATGTTCGCCACGCCAGGTTTATCTCGCGGTGCATTTTTAACAAGCCGCTTCCGCCATCGCCGTCACGTTGAGCCGCTATGAGCAGCTGCGAGTCACCCCCGAGATGATAAACCGCTCGGCGTTGTTTACGAACGGACGTTGCGATCGAGCGTGCAACGACGGCCGTCGAGCGACGCGGCCGCCGTCCCGTCGTCGTGTCATCGTCTGACGTTGGCGCGTCCGACGCGAATTGGTCGTCGCGCGATCGACTTGGTCGATCGAGCGAGCAAACAAGATTTCGGCCATCCTCGGCGTCACGGCCGTCACAGTCCCTTCACTGTTATTTACACGCACGCAGGCGGAGTGGCACGCACAGCTATGCTCTCCATGTATAAACATGGCCGTCGTGCTTTGTGATGATCGTCTGTGTCGGTTAGAACGGAGAAGCGTCGTGTACGACTGCCAGTAATATGGATGAAGAACACCAGTTCCGTAGACCCAGGTAAACGACGCGGTCCATGTATGCGCCGTTCGCGCCGCGCTCGCTGTCGACGCGAGTGCAATTCGCTCGTCGACGGCTGGTTTGTGTATCGCGCTCATTATCGCCTTGAGTTCACGCGCGCGCTCGTTTATACGCTCGCCGAACGATTTTCCATTTTTTCCCCTTGCCGCGAACGCGAAGGTGAGTGAACCTGCTGATACGTCACGTATCGTTGACTATTATGTAGTGCGCTCGTTTCATGCGTCATCTGCATCATTACTTGGATCGCGCTCATCTCTGAACAACGTCTTCGTCCTTATGAGGGGTCTCGCAATGTTGATCTGACATAGCAGAGATTTTCTCGAACTTTCGTCTCTCGTTGTATCTGTGACTTTTGAGAGTTCGTGGAGATTTCTCGTCTGCAACGCGTTATCAATATGTCAATCCATGTTGTATCGTTTTTAAATCTTGGTTTGAGGCCAAAAGTAAATATTTAATGATAGTGATGACATCTGTTTCTATCAAAATTGACGATTATTGCTTCTGAAAAAAAAATTTATTCACATATATTAATTGTTGTATAATTGAGAAATTTGCCCAAGAAATATAAACAGAATGTTTTTTTTTTTTTTATATAAAATATAGATGTAATATACATTATATTTGTTTTATACCTAGAAATAGATATAACATTTACATAGAGTATAGATCTAATATTTTTTAGATTACTTATTTATTTTTATATTTTTTTATCTAGAACACTTGTATATATTTTTGTAAAAAGTATCAAAGAGATATTGTGTATACAATTTGTTGATAAATATATTACATCAAATATTTTGTATATCATATGTGTCAATTTATTCTAGGCTGTCGTCTGGGTGAGCAATGAATGTACTTCGTGTCCTGACACCGTGTGTGTTGAAACGCAGGCGTGTAAGAGGTATAGATAGTAGTGACAAAAGGGATTCCTGGTTTATAAGAAGACAGCGTGGAGATGCCTCTCACATGATACATAGAATGGGTGCTTCTGCATCATCAAGTGTCACCAGTATAGGTGGAGATTCAGTTCAAGCAGCTAGATTCTCAGCATCAAGTAGCCCAGATCAACATGGCATTGCAGTTAGGTACATTATCAATGCTTTGTATAATTTACAATATTTATGTACTATCATTTAGTTTTCATATATCTCTTGATATTTGTGAAAATGTTACACATATATTTCTTATGATTCAACATATATATGATATATTATGATATATATTATGATATATATTATGATTCAACATATTCAAAAATTTGATTGTTTATTTTTGCTTATTTCTAAGTTTATTTTGTGTATTTTTGTTTATTTCTAAGTTTATTTTGTAGAAATTATAATATTTCTTTTTTATCATAAAATATCTTATATTTAGTATACTCTTATAGCTTTAACATATAAAAATTATAAATGCTTAAGTTAAAGAATATGTGAGATCAAATAACTTTCTAAATATAAATATAAAAGATTTACCTATCTGTTATGCTTTTCATTTACTCACACATATATACACACGTGTGTGTGTATATATATATATATATATATATATATATATATATATATATATATACATATACATATATATATATATATACACATAATATGTAGTGCATAAAAGTAAGAATATAGAAATGTAGAAAAAGAGTGGATATGTAAATAATATATACAATAGTATTTTAAAATACATATATAAGAAAAATAATTATTCAAAGATACAAATTACTGATTCGACCACACATTAAACATTTTATAGTTGTTTATTTATGTATAGAGAGAAGAAGAAGAAGATGACAGGATTCGCGACGCTACGTAAGAAATTCATTAGGAGACGCCGTTCTTCTAAGGTGTGTGACCATGGTAGAATTATTAGAGATTTGGTGTGTACGTGGAGTCACTTGGAAGCAACAGCCCTGCTAGAGGAGTATGAGGCACTGGCTGCATTGAAGGACCTTCATGTTCAAGCTGAATTGGCTAGACCACCAGCTGCTACTTTCAAGCAGGACTTATCGATGCTGTATGATCATAAACATTGCTCCGATGTTGATCTTGTATATAGAGGAGCGTGTTTTCCTGTTCATAGAGCTGTGTTGTCTGCCAGATGTCCATACTTTAGAGATTTGCTAGGAGGCTGCCCTGGTATGCATCTATTACTCAAGGAAATTTCAATATTATGTTATTAATCTTATTAATTATAGTGATAAAGTTTTTTGCCTTCTATTGTGTCTACTATAGAAAATTCGAAGTAGTGATTTTTTGTGTATTTATATATGTTTTTGTTGTTGCTCCCAAATAGCATAGAGAATCCAAAAAGGATTAAAAAATAATTCAATCGTATGTCATTAATTGTGAGTTCATTTTCAGATTCAAAAAAAATTCTTCAAATTTCAGTTCAGTGAAAAGAATTCTTTTTGCATCTAAAAATGAACTCATTGGTGACATTGGTCATATTGGTGATATACGACTTCTTTTACGAGAATTTTTGAATTCTCTGTGATATTTGGGATCGAATCTTTTTTTCTATAAAGAATTGCAGTCTTAAAAGGTTTGACATTCCCTTCGTAAAAAATTTCAGGATATGGCGCTAGAATATGTTTGGAGCTAAGGACTCCACATCTCGAAGTGCCGATGTTCTCTGCATTGTTGCGATATCTTTATACCGGTGACATTTGTCCGCACGACGCAACGTTGGAAACGAACCTGTTGCGACGACTCGGAGAAGAATTTGGAACTCCAAATCCGTTAGAACATGATCTCAGATATTTGTTGGAGTCGGGTGAAAACGCGGACGCCGCTCTCATATTCACTTCGGACGGCGATTATCAAAGACCGGACAGCGGCAGTTCCGAATATGGATTTCGTCCGAAATTGGAGCTGCCGTGTCATAAAGCGATACTCTCCGCGAGATCACCTTTTTTTAGGAATTTAATACAAAGACGAACTAGATCGGGTGAGGATCATACGGAACGGGCGCTTCACATACCCACTAGAATAGTATTGGATGAAAGTGTAATACCTAAACGATACGCCAGAGTCTTACTACATGCTGTATATTTAGATACTGTTGATTTATCGTTAATAACGAGAACAAGTGGTTGTGGAAACAGCGCTGGTAGTCTGGGAGAGGTAAGCGTTTTGGCATTATTAAAAAAAAAGAGAATATTTCCTTTTTTATGACTCAGTTTTCTTGTATCAATCTTTAGGTTCAAGCTCTAACGCATACAGGTCGAATGCGGCCAAGTCCTTTAGAAGAAGCAATGGAATTGTACCAGATTGGACGGTTTCTCGAGCTTGACATATTGTCGCAAGGTTGCGAGGATATTATTTTGGAGTGTCTCACTTTGGAGTCATTACCAACCGTTCTCAGGTAAATCTCCCGATTATTCGTAAATCGTAATCAGAAAGATTTATTAAAATACTTCAATGATATGCATGGCGAGAATAAGAGATTGCATTGCGCCTCTTTGGTTTAAAATCTGAAATCGATCATTGCTAAAAGTGACGTTGCATTATGCAGGTGGGGCAGTCAACCTCACGGATCAGCATGGGTGCACAGACAGGCATTGCATTATTTAAGGGAGGAATTTCAACCGATCGCTTCGTCCTCGATCCTCCATCAATTAGATCACGCCCATTTAGCCAATGTTTTACAGAGCCATTTTTTACAAGCGAGTGAACTTGAGGTACTGCAGGCGGTACTGAAGTGGGGTGAACACGAATTAGTACATCGAATGGAGGATCGGGAACCCAATTTACTCAGTCACACCGTGCACTCCGTGACGAGAAAAGGTATCAAGAAGAGAGATCTGAGTGACATTGAGTTACGGGAGATACTCAGTGAACTTCTACCACTTGTCCGAATAGATCATATATTACCACCGAATAGTGAAGCATTGGCGCAAGTATGTGTCTCCTTTGATGTTTTCTTAAATTACTCAAAATTTCAAGTTTCTAATATTTCAAATTGACACTTTAGGCCATCAGAAGAGGTTTAGTTTCTACACCGCCAAGCCATATGATAGGAGATGAAAGAGACAATTTACGGATGAATGCGTGGATAAGAGGTGGAAAGAAGAATGGATTCTTCGTGAGGCCAAGGTTATTCATGCCGTATTACGAAGAGATTAAGGTAACAAACTCCTCGAAATCATAAGATATAATTGTTCGTGCCGACGAAGTATACTTTTTTTTTTGTTATCAGTCCTTGGTCGAGGAACAAATGGTTCAAGAGGCTGACTTAGTAAGACTACGAAGACCGCGATACGTAGCGGATATACCTGATGCGCTGTACATGGTCGAGGAGAAACCAAGAGCCATGGGTACTGCTGGCGTTGACGTTCTCGCCGCGGCATTTCCAGGTATTATAACTCATATTATGGTGGTTTTACAGAGATTGAAATTGATAAGCGGAAATAAAACTGCAAATATTGCTACTGTTATAGAAGAAAACGTCCAGTAGTCGACACTTATAGCGCTCCTTAATTTTTGACACTCAGATTTTATCAAATATTAAGATACACGTGCGTGTATGGGAATTAATTATTTAATAGATATTTATAAATTATTTATTTTTAAATTCCCATACGTTTTAATATTTGAATACATTCACGGAAAAATACCGAAAACAGGCAAAGTATTTGACTACTGAACGTTTTCTCGTATCCTCGACATGAATAATTGATGGTAAGGAAAAATATTTTATTAACACGTTTATTGCTCATCTTTTACTATCTGTGCTACATACTAATAAATAATTCCGTACAAAATCTATATCTATCCCTATATTGTAAAATTTTACGTACGTGCTTTAGATTAGTTATTGTAAAAGATTTTGTGATTTTCAGTCTGCGTCACGGATCCGAGTCGGTAATATACTGTTAAAATGTTTTTTGCTACATTCCAAATTTTGTGCTGACTCGGATTAGAATCATGCGCAGTGAACGTGTTAATGTTGCAAGATTACCGAATGTCTTTAAGATTAAAGTATAAATTAGAAGTTAACAAAAGAGTAAACTTGAAAAATGTGAGGATTAGTAATATAAAGAAATAATTAATGTTACCATACACACACACACACATACACATACACACACAGTACCAGATTCTGCAGCGATGGCCTTGATGCTGAAACGGGAGCAAAAATTGAGGCAGTCGCCCAGCTGTCAACGGGCGATAAGCTTGCCGCTTTCCTCGCGACATGAAATTAATCGGCAAGTGCGACTGCGTGTTGTCAGGGAGTTTAACCTACCCGATACTGTGGCCGATCTTCTGGAAGTGAGTACTTTATTCGTTACTGCTTTCAAACATGCTACTAATTTTACGGGTAGTTTGGAATAATTTATAACTTTAATAATAATAGTGGTAAAGCGTGCGTGCTAATATTAAAGTTAAAATAGAACCTGCTTCTCAGGAATTTACACGGAATTATATCCAACGTACGACTATACACACACACATACATATGTACAAATATTTGCTGTTTCGTTACATATCATATATTCTAAAACTATTAATACTACTAACAAGCATTTATTCATAAGTTTAGTAAATTATAAAGGGCTCCTTTATAAATTTACATGAGCACAAATGAGCAATTAACATTTACATGAGCATTTGTATACTTGATTCTGCAGACGAACATATCATATGAGCATCTATGTAATTAGTTTTTCAGATAAACACATAAAATTATCTTTACTATTGATTTAAAGAGGAGAATGCTCAATGCAAATACTTTAAAGTATAAAAGTTGACGATATATACTCGCTTTAGAGAATTAAATAGAGGCTGTATTACAGTTGTATATAGTTGGTAACAAAAAGTATATTGCAGTATATTTTTTATCGATGTGCTTCAGAATGGACAAAAATTACTAGAATGGTCAAATGATTTTTACTCGTCACTAAAACTTATCAAATTGAAAAGTAGTGTAACTTTTTTGTTGCTAAATCTATATATCACGTACTTAAATATTTATTATGTACAAGAAAAATTGTTTATTTACAACAAAGTACCTTAAAAATGTGATAATCGTTGGCCACATTTAAAGTGCTATGTAAAGAAAGAATTGCATTCTTTATGTATCAATATATTTCTATCGCTACATAAATCTGATCTTAGGAACTATTGACTTAGCAATCTTATTCGTTTACTTATTTGTTAACTTCTTATTCAATTCTTATCTAATATTGTCTTGAGATATTGTCATGCATATACATACAATTTTTGTTGAGTAATATAGCATATTAATAATATAATTTACAAGATTTTTATTGTAGACTGGAATATATTCATATTGAAGCCATTATTTATATATGAATAAACAATAGCAAAGCAATAAACGAATAATTCGACTCGGTATATTTTGTAACCTGATAGTATACATATTTATTGGACAAAGAAAATATCATAAAAGTAAAAAAAATGTCCCATACTGATATGTATATTTCTAATGTTGGAGCTTGAGTTGCTCGTTATTTCTAATGTTAGTATGGAAAAAAATTTTATCTTGAATAGTAACTATTGTGTAACTATTATGTACGAAAAAATAAGTTAGTATAGTTGAATTTTCTATTACCTGGGAATTAAACGAAAAATTAACTGGGAAAGATTCCCGTAGGAGATTTCTACTCAACTAATTATTCTTAGTTATCTCAACCGAGTTTCAACGCAACTGAATATTTAGACGAATATTTTTAGTCACCATGCACAGATATTATTTATCGTCAGTGAATTTTTCATCTGGTTTCCTTTCAGCTTTTTACACGAACTGAAACTTTTCTCGATTTAGCGTTAAAGCAATGCATGATATGTATGAAAGATATTCAGTATGGAGATTTTTTTTACACGCGTCTCAAAGCTATTGGAAAAATTCAGTACTTCTTGGAAAAATTAATTGTGCGTTTTATTCTTTGCTCTCTAAATTTCTCATGCTTTTTTAACATTTTTTTCTACACTATAACTATATTCTAATCAGGAAAGACTATTCTGGTTTTTACGGTTAATGAATGTTTATATCTTCAAAAAAAATTCTCTACGTGTCTAATCTTGCAAAGATGAGCGCCTATACAGAGCTGCCTGCTAATTTTTTGGTATTATTTAACGTTTATGATATTTGTGTATCAGGCAATCTTTATAGCAGAACTAATTTAATAATAAATGATCTTTCGGTGTCATCAATTCAAAAGCCACCCTTTTCGATCGAACGTGAACAATATGTGCAGCAGTTTCTGCTTATAATTCTCGTCATTGACACCACCCGCGAAAATGTCCTTATCCCCATCTATCGTGGACGTTTCTGTAACTGAACCACGTGCCGCCTGTATCACCTGCACCATCATGATGCACTGGTTGAATTTGACGGGCGCGCACTGATTTAGTTGCTCCATAAACTTACTTTTAGGAAATAGTCCCGTGTCCACATTGAATGATTTTAGACAGTCGACGAAGGAGTCGTAATATAAATCGACCATATCGTCAAGGTAATTATCGATTACGTCTTTCTGGGCACTCGACATAAGGAAGAATATAAGATCGTTCACGCCGTAGTCATATACCATTAACTGGAAATCCACTATTTTCATATTGATTAGTTTACCTGACTCATCATATTTGAACAGCATGTTGTTCACCCAGAAGTCGTTGTGTATCATCGTCGTCCAAGGTTCTTCCGGCGTTATAGTATTGCGGAATCCATATTCGATTGTCTTCTCGATCGTATCCAGATAGGATTCCGCTTCTTGTATACTCTTATAATCTTCGAGTGCTTTCGTCACCATATCTATCACGCCGTTCTTTGTACTCTCATTCAAAGAACAGTCTAAAATGGGTAGTACAGTTTTCTGGAAGAACTCGGGCTTTTTCAACTTTATGCAGATTGTAATAGCGTGCAGTTTGGCTAGATGACCGATAGCGAAGTCCATGTGCACCTTATCTAGCCCGGTAATGCGGTCTTGCGTAGTGTAGTTGTGATATTTCAGATTTTCCAAAACAATGGCGGCCTGCTCATCGAAACACTGCGGATCTCGCAGACCTAATCTTCCAGCCACAAATCGGGGCGTAATGAGGCTCAGTTCTTCCCGAGATATCCCGCTTTCATTCTGTAATTTCAGAAACTCCGGTGCCACAGCACTGTAAAAAGCTAATTCCTTCTTAAAGGTTAACGGACTGTCGAACAAATCCAATAAATACGCTGATTTTGGCGGCAGCTTGACAACCACGTTCAAGTTTCTTTTTTTATCGTTCTGCTCAGCATCGATATCAAGGCCTAATATCACGCTGCCAAAGTTTTCTCCCGGATCGGTTAGTGGATTCCACTTTATGTTTTTTATTTGAAAGTTGGGGCCATAAGCTTGTCTTAGCAATACCTCCAGATCTTGAATCGGCAGCGTATTATTCGATATTGGTGTTTTCGTCCTAAAGTAAGATTTTTTAACGATTATTATTTCGAGAAAAAACTAATATACGTAATCATTAATATATCATATTTAGTCATGAACGGGTGAAAAAACAACATAGACATACATTATGTATTTGTCGAAACGTCTTGAAGAAACTGGAATTTTCTTGAGACTTTCCTTGCGTAAACTGGATTCACACCTTGAATATTGTATAGGTCAGAGGTCAGGCTGTAAAAGAAATTTCTTTTAAATTGAAAGTTCTTTAAAGGTAACGAAAACATCAGGCTTTGTCGAGCGCAAAGAGAAAAATTTTTCTTTGAATTTAATACCTGAACTACCAAAGCATTCAAAATGATTTGTAATTTCTTATAAAAATTATTCAAATTATATTACGTATACTAGTGAAATTTATATTTTTTATTGTCGCGCACGTACGTTAAATAAAACTAAAAGGAATAAATGAACATGTTTGTTTTATGTATTACGTATTTTCGTCATTTTTTAATGTCATTTTTACCACACTGGTAGAAATAGGCATACATTAATCGTCCATAGTTCTAGCGTTAATTAATTTAGTTGATTTTGAACAAATTTATTTGTTGTAATGGCCCATAAGTGTACTAATATATACTAACTTTTAAAATATTTTTATTATTTAGCTTATAATTTAAACAAGCTCATAATTTTATTTTACTGAAAAGTAGTAACCGTAGCTCTTGTTCCAAACATGATAATATAACTGATAATATGATAATATAACTGTTGCTTTCAATGTCACTTGATTGTATTCTTATAGCGTTTAAAAAATCATTATATCGTGGCAAACCAAACATTTATGATGGTGATACATAAGTTTGAAAAAACAATGTATAAAATAATAGTGTTTTTTTTTCTATTAAACAATAGGTTGAACAATAGGTTCAACAAAATAAAATTTTTATTTAACAGAAATGATGTTTTGTATAATATTTTGTTATTTCTGGGTTTTTATTTTATTGTCAAATAAATCATTAAATAGATTAAACAAATAGGAATTCTGAATATTATGTGTATGTATGTGTGATATATGCATTCAAGATTATATAAACAAATAGAAATATTAAATATAATGAAACTTTTTTTTCTATATACGGAAATTTTTTTCGTTAAAAATAGACACCTAACATAATTTGTATGAAATTCAAATATTTTAATCATCTAGTTCAGGGTTTTTCATACTTTAAAGACTGCGGGTCGCGACTTTTAGTGAATCGCGAAATAAATAAAATAAATCGCGACAAACAAAAAAGATACACAAAAATATCTGGAATATAATTCATACAATAAAACTTCTCTGAAAGCGATTTATTTTTCCTTAGATCTTTTTATTAGTGTTCTCTGGAGATTAATTTTTCAATTTTTAATTATTTCAGAATATGTAGTATATTCGTAATGATACGGAAGATTGTAAAAATAATATTGTTATTTGTTTTATATCTACGAGGTAAATTTTAGATCGTAAAAAAGATTGCGTTGTACAGATATAACTGTCCTTTATATTGCATTTCATACTATATTATTAGGTAACGTTAATCTTAAAAGTCTTTCTTTTTTGTTATTTGTTGCATGCTTCAAATACGTTGTGCAAATGAACGTAATAATTCACACAAAGTTTGTGTCTGCAATTTATCATACATATACTAGGTCACAAAACAAAGTGCTGTTCCTGCAGTGGATAATGATAAAAAAAATTTGAAAAACACTGGTCTAAATTCACGCTATCGTAGGATTAAAATTGTTTCTTGTTTTGAAATAACTTAATAAATTTGGTCCATTATCACTCTCATATCTACTATCCTCTCAACAAAGAACTAAGGAATTATCTTCTTATCAGCTTCACCATTGTAATGCCCATTATGTACAGCTTGGCAATACTATTATGCGCAAAGATATTTATCGTGACACCGTTCCATATGAAAAAGCTCACCTTATCGTTACACGGTACAGCTGCTCAACGATCTCGACTATTTTCGATATGAAAGCACACACGTACACTTCTTTGCTTATTTAACGTGCGCTCGTGTATCGCATTCAGCATCAACTGTCATTGCATTGTCAAGCCTCGCTATTTTATATCATAGTAGGGAGACCGTCTATTAAACTGTATATATGCTCGTCGCGACTATGACTCGTTCATGCAAATGAAATTAACAGATAAATTTTCCTTATCGTCATTTAGTAGTATGCAAAATGCTTAGTTTCACAATTGCATGATTATCGGGGCAAAGGAAGAAAAAACGGAAAAATATGAATCATAACGATATATAGACCGAAACTGACAACTCAGTGTTTGATAACTGGCCCGTGCGTATTGCTTGGTAACAGAAACGCGAACGTCACTCCGTCACTATCATCTTACATGGATGTAAGCGTGCATCGAGTAAAAACGCACTCGCGCCTTTCTGGTTGTTAATGCGGCCGAAGACTGCAACGAGTGCTATTTATAGTGTGCATCGGTGATGCGAGGAACTTTGAGCATTAAGATAAATTAGTCGTAGAAACGATGGCGATTGATGTAAACGAATTCGTCCGTGACCAAATTGTTTCCGTGCCGCCGTCGTACGATCTTTTGTATCGACGGACAACTCTGTTGTCGGTGCCGCGTTTTCGACTGCTTGGAGATAATTCGCTCGTTATTTTTCCTTGTTTACATAGAACATTGTTTTGAATAATCAGTAACAAAGAAGAGCAAAAAACGTATGCGGCACAGAAGATTGCAGTTATCGTGAAATAGTGATTCATTTGAGAGATGCGTTTTTGCAATCTATCCTGTCGAGGAATTCAATTAACTTTCTGCCCTGTATAATTGCCCGAGTGACTCCGTGACTGACGACCGACGACATACTTACGGGCGCCAACAGTGCGGTGGACAGTTTTATTTCTGGTAATGGCGCGATTTTATTTTCAGAAATCGCCGCGAATTGGGACATTTAAATTTGATGTCGTATCGATTCGGTACTTTGATTAGGTCTCGGCACATCCAGACATCACTGGTATACTGAGTTTTAATAAATTTTTTAAATTTGTTGGTCAACTTCATTAATCTTTTTTTTTTAATTATTTTCATCGTGTTTGGATATAATATGGTGTGACATCTCTAACTCAAATATGACCAAAATTAGGAAAGTTATTTTTGGAAGTAACTATTGTTACGCATTTAAAAAATAACTCGTTATTATATCAAAATGAGAGAAGAGCCAGTTGCGGATCTAATATATTTCCGTATAGTGCATATATTTGTATTGTACGTAGCCGCGAGTTATTATGATGATATTTCAACCACGCAATATAGTCTAATCTTTAGACTTTCGCTGTGTGATGAATTGCTTGATATGACTTCCGGATTGGCGTCGTGTACTTTATGGATTTGTTTTAGACGTTTCGTCAACATTCCAGTTTATTTCTTTAGAAGACTCCTTCAGAGACTTAATTTCAGGTGGTTTCTCTATTAAAGTAGTTAGCTGAAGTGTTTTTGAAACATCAAAAACAAATCCACGTAGGACGCGGCACCAACCCGGAAGTCAGTATATAATGTAGTCATTTTCAACTAAAGTTGATACAAATTATAGATGATTGTCCTGTGGACAATGTGGTAAGTCGTATAACGTGTGTAATATGTGAAAAAGTCTCATACTTAAAATCAAATTTGTTGACGGACGTAGATAATCTTATGAAGATAATTATTTTTGATGGATATCTTCCCGTAGTTGATAGACCATTTTCACAATTTCCAAGCGAAAATTATCACGATGACACATTATTATTCGAGATTATAATGACCATAAGACTATAAGACTGTAATAAGAATTATAAAATGAAGAATAATTAACAATTTGATATACTATAATGTAATATGTTGCGATAATAACTTGCTTTTAATGGAGAATGGAGATACTTTGTACAAAAAAAATTCAAGTTGGAATTAATCACTTGAAGAACGATGTCAAATGATTACGTAAAACAACGAATAATGTTATAATGCACATATCAGTGACATATTTATAATGTGTGCTATAAGTATAAGAATACTAAGGAAAAATGAAATTTAGGAAGGACGAAGAAATAGGATAACGACAAAAACAAACATTTTTTACATATGATAGCGGGAATATTACGTAATAATTCAGTATCCTGTTGTGTGCTTATATCGTTATTTTAACTTGTTAT